GGCAACCCAAACCCAGCACCCTCCATCGACCTGGCCAGCAGCTGAGCAATGCAGGTAAGGAGCTCCTAAGGATGCGACCTGATCCCATGATCTTTCTGTCTGGTGACACTCTCAGAAGCACAGAACACCATTGCACACTGGACGAGCTCCGCACCTGCTCAGACTTGCTTCTTCCGGGACAGTGCTGCTGGGATCGGAGCTGGGAAACGGAAGCCTGGTTTCCTCTCTCAGTCCCACCTCTGCTCACCCTGTGTAGCCGTTCCTCCATCTGGCTTTCAAAGAGCAGCCTTTGTTCATCCCATACAAACGTCCTGAATGCGCACTCTGTGCTAAGGGACGTAAACTCCGAACTTGTGGTCTCAGCCAGTTCTGGAAGAAGTGGCTGTGGAATGGAAGGAGCCACTGTGAATCACCAGGGTTAAAAAAAAAAAATTGCAGATTGAAATAAACAGAGAGGCAACTGGAAATGACAATCATAAGCAGGCGATGACTAAGGGACAGATCAGTGCGTCAGACAAGGAGCTCTTATGGAGGTGGGCAGGAGACCGGAAGAAGAAGCTATCATTACACTCTCATGATTGTGTGCCCACATACCACCCATGCAAAAAAAAAAAAAAAGGAGGCACGGGTGTAAGTACTATCACCATGTCCCGTATCTGCTATAACTGTGCACCCCCCCCACCCCCCCACCCCCGCTTTTTTGCCTTCACAAAAGGAAGGACAGAGATAAAGGTGGTATGGTCAGAGACCTGAACAGAAAGAAGACCAAAGGGCTAGCCTGGTCTTCATCAGCTGTGGGAAAAGGGTCAAGCCTGAGGCCAGTTCCTACCATCAGTACAGCACCCTGGAAAACAGGAACAAGGTAAAAGGCAAGGAATGCTGCCTCCCACTAATCTCAGATGGTTTTGACCCTGCTCTAAGGTCAGTAGGTCAGGAGGGGAAAGAGGGCGTAGGAGACCTGGAAGACCCAGGGAGGGTCCTGAGAGGCAACGAATGCTTACCTTTATTGATGTGTATGTGTGTATGTGCATGCATGTGCAAGTGCTTTCAAAGCTCAGAAGGAGAGGGGATTGGAGCTCCTGGAGCTGGGTTTACAGGCAGATGAGAGGCATCAGAAGTGGATGCTGGGGACCAAACTGGGGTCCTCTGCAAGAGCAAAAAGTGCTCTTGACCGCTGAGCCGTATCTCCAGCCCTGTCCACCACGGCTTCTAGACTAACTCGAGGACCGATTTCTCCTCAGCGCACAGGAAGTATGCACCACGAGACACGAGACTGTGGCACTGATTTGGAAGTTAATGACTTCGAGTAGAATAGCTGTGTCCGGCTTGGAACTCAGAGATTAGACTAGCTGGCTGGCCAGTGAGTCCCCGGGATCCGCCTGTCTCTGCAGCTTGCACCATCAGGCTTATCAATGTTCCCAGGTTCTGGGGAATTGAACTCGGGTCATCACGTGGCAGGCGCTTCACCTCCTGAGCTATTTTTGCAGCCCCTGGCTTTGTTTTTAGCTGTCAACTCATCGGGCCTCATAATTCTGCTGAGATACTTGGAAGGCTAATTTGTTGACTCCAAAAAGACCTGAATTCCCCGAGAAACATGATTTTTAGACTCTGAGTGTGTTGATTCTACTGCAGTAACTTCTTGTGTGCTTAGCCCCCAGGCTGTCTAAATTTCACATCCACAGAAAATGCAGCTTAGTACCTTCAGCCCTACATATCTTCCCCTCCGAGGGTTCAGCAATTTCGGGCTTAACAATGTTTTACAAAAAAATGGACATCTACAGACTTTTTTTTTCCTTGTCATTAGTCAGTCCCTAGATAATACAGTGTAACAACTATTTATGTGGCATTGACATATTTGTGGGTTTTGTAAGTAATCTACAGATGGTTTACAGTATATGGGATGATAGGCATAAACTATATGGAAATGCTGGGCTGTTTCATATGATGCATTTGAGGATATTGATATGGAGTTGGGAGTCCTGAAACCAACCCCCCTTGGGTACCATGGGACACCTGAATTGACGAAATGTTCTTAGGATGCGTTTGCTGTGCCATGTCCGGGACCTGAAGGGCACAGGTAAGAGGCATGCAGATACAAAATTCCATAAATGAACTCATGTAAGGTAAGTGTTGCATGTCTATGTAGTTGCAGAATCTGCTAACACTCTTCCCACTGTGCGGTGCTTTGCAGGGAAAAAAAAAGAACTTTATGCTCAAAAATCAGTTATTTAATACTTCCCAAATAAATTATCATAAGCAAAAAAAAAAATAGATGAAGCTGTTAAACCTGAAGGTTAAACATATTCTCGGTGCAGAAGGGAACTCTGACTCATGCTGTAACATGGATAAACAGTGAGAACATTACGTCAAATGAAACAAAAGGAAACCATATGATTCCATCCTCGTGAGGTAATCCATGTGATGTGAGTAGTCACAGCTATAGACTCACGGTTAGAGTGGTGGCTGCTAGGAACCAGGGAGAGGCCAGATGGGAGCCACTGTTTAGTGAGTACAGAGTTCTAGTTTTCTGAGATGAAAGAGACGTGTGGCAGATGATGGAGCAACAATGTGAATCTCCTTAATTGCTACTGAAATATAAACTTCAAAATAGTTAAAATGGAAGCTAGAGGTGTAGTTCAGGCGAGTATGTGATTTAGCATGCTCATGGCCCAGAACCAATAAATCAATAAGAGCTAAAATGGCCAATGTTATGTGATATACTCTCTCTGTGTGATGGCTGGGATTTAGCTAAACAGAGCAGGAGAGGAGAAAAGTGGATCAGGAAGACATAAACAGAGCTGAGAACCTACACAAGGCTGTTGGTGGCATGCTACTTGGATTCTTTTGCATAATTTCTCAGGATTTAATTTTTTTTTTGTTTGTGTGTGTTTGTTTTGCTTTGTTTTGTTGTTTTGTTGTTTTTCAAGACAGGGTTTCTCTGTGTAGCTTTGGCTGTCCTGGAATTCGCTATGTAGATCAGGCTGGCTTTAAACTCACAGAGATCTACCTGCCTCCACCACCCAAGTGCTGAGATTAAAGATGTGAACCACTATACCTGGCTTAAACATTTTTTTAAGGAGCTGAACAACGTTTTAAATTCAATCCTCACATACACACACACAAACACAAAGTATTGTAATTAAATAAAGATCTTTAAATTACAAAATAAAAATCAGAATACGGAGCAAGATCACAATTTTTGAAGGATTATTCGCATGTATATTCCTAGAACCACATAAGTATCACATATGCATGCATTACAGAGTGATGGGGATGTTGTTCTATGTGCTGTGAATGTGTTGCTCTGATTGGTTGATAAATAAAACACTGATTGGCCAGTAGCCAGGCAGGAAGTATAGGCAGGATAAGCAGACAAGGAGAATTCAGGGAAGAGGGAGGCTGAGTCAGGAGACACCAGCCTGCTGTCCAGGGAGCAGCATGTAATGGCACATAGGTAAAGCCATGGAACACGTGGCAGAATATACATTAACAGAAATGAGGTGAGTTTAAATGTAAGAGTTAGTCAATAATAAGCCTGAGCTAATGGCCAAGCAGTTATAATTAATATAAGCCTCTGTGTGTTTACTTGGGGGGATGCAACTGGGAGAGATTTGCCCTGACCACCAGCAGGCCTGGACACAGGAAAACTTCCAACTACAGCCGCGAGATAAAAATGTGATTGAACTTGGAAGTGCGCTCTGGACACCAGGCTCCATCCCTAGCACCAGGGAGCAAACAAAAGAGTGAATGGAATATCAGGTGAGGAAGAACTACCAAGTGACCCAGCAGCACTTGATGTATTACACTCTGGCCATGTCAGACAGGCTTAGTGATCTGGATCTCAGGTCCTGAGCTGTAATATATCCTGGACCTAGAAGGAGCACCCTGTATCCAGGAAGGAATCAAGCTGCCACCCCCAGCCAGGCCCTCTTGAGCTGAGCTTGAACAACAGATGCACATTCCTGCTCCTTCCCTTCCTGGGATTAGATTGATGAGGGGCAGACACTGAGCCCTGGGTCGACCCCAGGAGCAGGGCCAGTCAGAGCCATCAGCCCATTCTGCCCCAGGGCATCTCTCAGCACAGAGCCCAGACACAGAGGCTGGGAAGAACCTTGCCAGGTCACCCAGGGGGGCCCCTGAAAAGACAGCTCCAGTGGCTCTCTAGGAATCACAGTCATTGTAGAGCAAAGGGCTTAGAGAACACTTGATGTGTATGTAAATTTTGTGCTTTACAGTGAACACTGTACCCTTGAGTTTCATAAATATATGTACACAAATTTATGGTTTTATATCTTTCTGCCCTGGTATTTATTTAGCTCATGGTTGAGTCACCAGGAAATAGCAGTTTGTACCCATTTGGCTATCCTAAAAGAATTGTAAGGTTTTTGGTTGGTTTTTGTTTTGTTTTTTGCTTGTTTGTTTGTTTTTAAGCTTTATTTATGTAACCTTTTTTCTTCTGTATTTATGGAAATCATACAGCACAAAGAGTGAATTTAAAGTATTATTTAATGAATAAGGACAGGATCAAATTACATTTCCTCTGATAAGGAGAAAAGTAAAACTACAGAAAACTTCCCTGGAGGCCCCTTGTGATATTACAGTGAAAACAGTCCTAACTAGAAACTGACCAAGGTATCCTGGCTCCTAGAGAGAAAGACAAAATATCCAGATCATGAATGCTTAGAACTTTGTTTCTAGTTTCCAGTGAGTCCCTCAGCTTGGGCGGGGACAAAATGACCAGAGAGAAAACTAGCTGTGTGAGGATTTCCCCAAAGTATGGAGAAACCTTCTACACAGATTCGCTCTTTGCTCTCCAGATAAGGACGTCACAAAGTCCTGGTCCCCTGGGAGCTGCCCTGCTTTGAGTCCTGACCTGGGATTTAGTGGGTGCAGAGGGCAGGGTCAAAAGCTAAACCTCACACACCTCAGCAGATGGGAAAAAAGACACTGGTCTACCAAATGTCTCTGATAAGGCTTCTGGAATCTCCCATTGGCTGTACCTTAACCACAGAAGAATGCCTGGATGGATGGACAGATGGATGGATGGATGGATGGATGCGATGGCTGAGTGACCTCCAGGAGACGCTGGAAAAATGACCCAAACCTTGGGAGGAGGAGCAGATCCTTAGACTCCTGAGTCTTTCCTACACTCCAAAGCCCTGCACAGTCCTAGAAAAGACACATTAAAATGAAAAGAAAAGCTTAATAAATTGTGCAGATTTTACTTCGAGCATGTCCTGGCCAGGTGTACTTGATTAGGAGGCCTATCTTACATGTGTGGGACAGACGGAGCTGGGAATCACCATGGCCTGCCTTACACCTACGGCTGAGAGTCAGTTTCCAAATCACTAGTTTCTGTGGCTCTGAGCTAAATTCCTATCATCACTACCTTCTGCACAGACATAAGCTGATTGGAGGCTGATGTCATTCAGACACCCATCGCCCTAGAAGAGGTGTTGTTGGGCCGAAGTACCTCATTTGTCAGGCATAGAATTTACACATCTGCAAAAGGAAGGGTCATTTCTAAACTCTATTCCGTCTCTCACATGCTGTGATTCCACAGATAAAATACTAAATGAAAAATTGGAAGGTTTTTTTAAAGATTCTTATTTTTATTAGTGTGTGTGTGTGTGTGTGTGTGTGTGTGTGTGTGTGTGTGTGTGTGTGTGTGTGATGTGTGTGCAGCTGCCTGTTGGGGCCTGAAGAGGGCATCAGACATCTTGGAGCTGGAGTTACAGGAAGTCATAGTGAGCTGCCCAAGATAGGAGATGGGAACCAAACTCAGATCCTCTGGAAGAACAGCAAACACAGTTAAACCTCAGAAACCAAATCTCCAGCTCCACAGGAGATTTTGAAAAGGAAAATTAGAGGCAACAATCTAGCCTACAGACAATACTGAGCAGATAGCCCTTAAAAGGAGGACTATGCAAACCCACAGGGCGAGAACAGAGGCCCTTCCTTCAGCAGAAGGCAGAACTCAGACTCTTTCCCCCCCAACATGTCTCCTGTCAGAGGCACTCCAGTCTCTAAGATCTCTCTTCCTCTCCCAGCTGCTGCAACCACCCTCCAAATACTCAGAAAGAAAGCTTTCTATTCATGTGTCTCCTACATGCCACAGCCCATTTGACTGGATTTTCAGGGTTATTTTTAATCAGTCCTTTTACCATTAGACCTCATTCATTTTAACTTCCTTGCAACCCTCTTGCAATGTGTACGCAGTAAAATCTAAGCACATAGAGAGAACAAGAAACAGCCAACCCAAGCGCTGGTTTACTAAGCAAGATAAGCGCTGTGGCTCACGTCAGTCCTGCAACCTTTTTACTATAATCACACCTACATGAAAACTATTAAACATGGAATTGCTTTTTTTCCTTTCTTTTTTTAACCCAGTGTGTTACCATTTTCTCCCTCCCCCACCCTCCACACACACACACACACACACCCCGCCCCCCCAGCACTTTTTCCATCACATTTCAAAGAATATGCATAATGTCAACCATAGAGGCAGGCGCCTGAGTTTCCACCCTTTCCCCTCCTTCCCTCTCCACAACTGTCATCCTTTTAAGGTTAGCCAACCATGGGCTATCATTACATGTCAACAATGCCTAGCTTGGTAGTGTAGCCACAAACAAGAAGGGGGGGGGAAAAGAAGAAGAAAGAAGAGAAAGGAAAAAAAGTTGGGGAGGGTGAAGTATTTAAAGCGCTCATAAAATTAAGTCTCGGATTTAAATTCTCCCTCATATTTTATTGTCTTTTCTTTTCTTTTTCCTGTGGTAAATGGTAATTAGAGTCAATAATCTTTTGCTGAGAGAGCACCTTGTCTTCAACAGTGTTTATATCATCGTCATCAAAGATCTGCCTCAAGGGCCTGGCTTGTTAATAATTTAAGGTGTGCTCAGCCTAGTTAGAGCAGGAAGCCTAGTTATTGAGTTTGTAAACCAGCCGATGATTTATGGGAACACCTTGCATGACTCATGCTCATTAAATAAAATACTTCAGTTTAATAAGGAACATGGGGTAAACAGCGCTTCCCGTTACGGGGTGAGTGGGAGATTGGAGATTGTTGGGTTTTGTCACCAGGTCCCCAACACTATTCTGTCTTAATTGTACTGGCAGGACCGAGGAGAGTGGAAGGCGGTGCTCGTGTCTGCCTGTATCTGCACATGCGCGCAGTGGCTGGCTCTCTCACTCCCAGACTCAGGGGAGGCAAGGAAGGCCATTCCCTTCTACAGATACAACTTGAGAAGTTGTATCACCTACAAGCTATATCCTCTCATGGAGAGAATGTTAAATCTCCTTCTCTCTAAAAGGCTACTAATTAAGAAACTAGAGATGTTCATGGAAATAAAATTACAAGAAAAAAATCAATACCTGGTTGTTAAATGTAACCCACATTTAATAGCTCTAACCATATTTTACTGCTGAACATTGCGCTTCCCTCATTTACAATTCCTAAGCAGACTGATACATCAGAAGCTAAGCAGAGCCTTCTGGTCTGTGTAAGAGAGACACGCACGGGATATCCTTTTCTTCTTTAGTGTCCAGGGTCTGGGGTTCCACGGATCTGGCGGACTCAAGATGTTACTGTGGCATAGTGTTTCCTAACAGACACAATCTGGTCTATGTTTCTCTTATTCTGAATTCACTGGTAGGAGCATAAAGCTGGCACTCCAGGAGTTAGAAAATGAACTTGTTTGGTTTTACAGATTTCCATATCATGCAAACATTAATAATCGTTTGGAGTGATGGCTGCATGGTTACTTGGGTAGTTGAGAAAAACTTTCACAGAGAGAGGAGAAAAAGAAAGAAAGAGAGAGAGAGGGAGGGAGGGAGGGAGGGAGGGAGGGGGGAGGAAGAGGAGGACAAACTGAACTTTTATTCCACACATTGGAAACACTTCTACAAGTCCAGTTTTTTGTATGTTTGTTTGTTGTTGTTGTTACTGTTGTGGCATTGAGACATTTTGGAGTGATACCAAAAATGATACAAGTCACTGAGAGAAAATTAGTTGCATTCATTTAATAAGCTGCACATCTCCCAGGATTTCTATCAGCTCTCTTTGGAAAATAAACAGTCCTGAAAGAAAGCTGCCTGTCGCTGTCTGAGTGGAATGCTCTGTGGTCTGTTTTACTACAGAGAAAATGGCTAATCTGGGTCTCAAGTTACAGCGCTTCCCTCTCAGGAATGTTACCTGCTTTGAGTTGGGCTGCTCTGCACGCATTATCCACACTGTTTGTGGATGTGGCTTCCCTCTGCAGAAACACCACGAGCAACATCTAACTCCCGCAGAAGGAGAGCACTAATAGCCCGCTCTAGCTGTAAATAACGTTTTCCACTTTGCTTATAGAATATGATACTCTAGACATCTTGTAATGAAAAGAGAATTATAGAATGATGGCGGGGAGGAGCAAACACTTCTCTGGGGACTGTCTACAGAATAACCTCAAAAGCCAAACAGAAATGTCAGTGGATTTTCAGTTAAGCTCTGTATCATACATGACCCAGTTTCCCAAATGCGGTCCGGTTTCACCCAGCCATGAAACAGTAACGTGTTCCCTACACATCTAAGATCTGCTGTACACCTTATTACTCGTACACAGACAAAGTTTACAGAAACGAATAATTCTGGATATCAGGACTTTATTCAAAACACTTAAAATTACAATGACTTTATAATAAGCAGCATTTACAAGACAAAAAAGATTGTAAGCTAGCTGGCCAAGAATAGTCACTTAGGATACTGTCCACACTATATCTAGCAGTATTATAGACTTCTTCACGACAGCTGCAGTGACAAGGGCCATGCTGTCATCCCTATGCCCTGGGTTTGGCCATCTTTTCATTCCCAAAATGGCATAAATCTGTTTTACACATTTCTTTATTCCAAATTCAGCTTTGATTTCAGCAATGTATTAAGAGTAAATTAAACAGCCTCAAGCTCATTGAAAAAAAATCCATCTGTGTGTGGATACACACGCATACTCTGATCAAACTTCTTTTAAGACAGAAATATTAAAACCATCGAGAAATGAACAAACGTCGGAGGTCATATGGGTCTTGTGCTTTGGTTAAGCTGGGGATGAAATAGCCACACTTCCTTGGGATTCAACAATGCCCTTTCCCTCCTCCAAGGCTGCCTTCCCACCTGCTGGCTTGCCCACGGCCTCCTGGGAGCAGAGTCCCTCTGATGCTCCTTAGCTGTGGTGCTGGAAACCATTATAAAGTCATAAAGCTTGCGTTCTTTGAATCCCTACAGCCACCAGGGCCGCACCTCTCAGGTCACTGGTTTCTTCAGGACAACTTGAGTCAGGTCTGTCTCCATTGCCATTGATTTCAGTATGAGGTGAATGACATCTGGATTCCTGAAAAGTCTGCTTGTGGTCAGAGTTAAAGTACATGAAAACAAGAACAAATGTGAACATTTTTGGGAAACAGTCCTTTCCCCCAAGCTGCCAGCTGCAGGTTCCACTAAGGTATCTGACACACTCTGCAGCCTCAGACAGGAATGGAAGCTTGGTTTTTCTTGAAGGCCCTGGAAAGGGAACATTGGCAGTCTGCTTCGCAAAAATTCGGCTTTTCTTCCTTTGTCGCAGATGGAAAGGGCATGCCTGAAAGGAGCAGGGCAAAGGATTTCTAAGGGGGCCCTCTGTCTGGGCTCTCCTACCAAATCCAGAGAGATCTAGCTTCTCAGAATGGCCGGGCCACACCCTTCCGATAGCATCTCAGCTACTCCCTTCAAGGACAACAGGGTGATCATTTCTGTTAAATGCCTCTTTTCCGATACAGTAAATGTTACTCACGGTGCCCAAGTGTAAGCACCAGAGAGGCAAGCTGTTTATCCATACCCAAAGATAAATACGTACTAGCAGAGGCAAACCCTGTCAGCCACAGTCACCTGGTTCTGAACGCAGAGCAGCCGGCTAGCAGAGGGACCTGTTTGATGAAGGGTGTGTCCACGGTGCTTTCTGGCCTCGGGCTTTTTGCAAGGCACACTCTATTGTCAGGCAGAATCAACAACTGCCACGCCAGAAATCTCTTCCACCACCCTTGACACCTAAGCAGAAATTCTTCTCTTCTTAGAAACACAAATAGTCTGGTAGAGAAAAAAAAAAAAAAAAAAAAAAAAAAAAAAAAGATGGTGGGGAGATTAAAATCTTTCTCTCTGAGGT